CATTTTCTTTCGAAAAGGCGTATGACAGTTTCAAGAAGCCTATAACCCTCTTGCACATCTATAAAACAAAGAAAAAAAGTTTCATCGAAAACGGTGCACTCGTTTTCTCGTGAAAAGCGAACAAAAACATGTCCGCGAGCGTTACCGACAGACAGACAGAAATTGAGATAAGGCTTGTTTCGGCTTCTCTGGTGTATGAAACGTGAAGATATGCAAAAAGTACACTATTCTAAGCAATGTACAGACAAAACTCTTATTTTATTTATATAGAAGAAGAAGAAGATTCCTATGTTAAGAAATACAAGAAAACTAGCTTATTTTAACAGATGATTTTAATGTAAAGGTACACATATAATGAAGAATAAAGGAAATATTTTAATTTTATACTCGGTTAAACATAATTTAACATTTGAGTGATAAAATCATTACAGTATTCTAATGATCATGTGAGAAAAATCACTGGAAATCATTAAACAAGGTAAAGTTTGTTGTATAGCTCTTCCTCTTCTATAATTCAAATCGGACACTTTCAGACACTAAGTTGATAATCTTAATAAAACAAGAATTATGATTCTATACACTGTTTAACCTATAATCTAGGGTTGTCACAGTTAAAATAAGAGATTCCATCTGTACTTTTTTAATTTCATTATTTTGCAAACCCTCAATCAGATTCCACTTTCCCTTCAATACTTTCTGCAATGAGATACTAATTAAAGAGTTCAAAGATGTTAGTAAAGGCACTAATATAATTAGTTAGACTTAGGATAATATACAATAATGTGTGAACCTGTGGATAATGTGCTTTATAAAACAAGTCTGAAGTATATATACATAATAATGTAGAACTGTGGTAGATGAGTGTTAGTTATTCCATCTCTAAAATTACCTTTGTTTCTTGCACTGAAATATTATCTTCCTCTTTTTCTGGCATTGTTGATGAAAATTCTACTTCAGGTGAAACACTACAAAAAACCAGTAGTGTAACTTAAAATTAATTCCTCAAATTTTATACCCTATCCTTAGCACCTGTTATCCATTTAACACATTGCAATTTTTCAATGCCACATTAACAATTTGTTTTTGTATTACAAATATCAAATTGCTTACTTCTTTTCCCATACCAAGTATGTAATAAAGCATCTACCATTTGTGCAAATTTGTGACGTAACTATCTCCTGAAGAGGACACGTGAAGTGTCAAAACTAGTATCCACATGCATTTTGTATTGTTCCATTATTGTGTAGTATAAGGAAGGTTATGAGAGCAAATTATTATAATTTGTATCAAATCAAGTATTCAACAAAAAAATTACACAAATGGTGTGATATGCAGGCATATCATATGTTTACTACCTGCTTTAGTGATATAGAAATTTTTAAAATTAAATTTATTCGGTTTAATGCAGTTTTAGCATAAACAGATGGTTTAGAAAATCATTGCAATTGCTTTGTTTTATTTTCTTTGTTCTATATAGTAGATAATGTCTATTCTGCCCAAGAGGTTATTGCAGTAACATATGGTAACTGGGTTGAAAGGATTGACACTTTTATGTCTTTTGCTGACTCAGTTAACATTGTCTAAATGTAAAAGTTAATGAGTTAATGCTTTCAATTAATAAATCTTGTGAACTCAAGTGCATTTTCTTAGTTCAGTTTAGAAGATCATCAAATAAAGACTTGCAGAAAGATTATTGCATTTAGTTCTAAAGAGATCAATCATGAAGGAAATAAAGCTGTGGGACTAAGCAAAGCCTAGTAGAAGCAACTGTCTTTTTGTGTGCACAAGTACATATGTTGCATTTTCGTTTTTGTTTGTTAAACAATAAATATTCTTTTCATTTTTACCAACTTTGAAAAAGTCTCATTATTTTACACACACTAGGAAGACTAATTTAAGTTGTCTTATCAGAATCACGCTACTCATTTCTTGAAAAAATCTGTAGTTATTAGCAAATCCATCTATCTGATATTTGTCGAAAAATAAGTAGTTCTTACATGAAAATACCACAGTGGGATCCTAATCTACCTTATCATCATTATACATTTCCCTTCTAATACATTTTGAATTAAGTGAAATTTTGATTGTTGCTCAGGTTTTCACTCTGTCAAAAAGTTTTTTCTTATAGTCAAATGTTAAAAAATTATTTGGGCTTTAAAAAACTATGCTGAAATAACTATATGTGAAACACTTCCATAGTGAACATCTGACATTCAGATTTAGCTTTTTATTGATAAATATTACTAAATAATCATAATTTAAAAGAAACAAATTGATTATATATGAGCTGAAATACTAGTGGATTGAAACATTTTTAAGCTTTCTCTTACCAATCGCATAGAAGCAATGCTTTTATACAGATTTAACAAATATCTGACCTTTGACAGGGGCATGTGCAGGACCTTAAATTTGATGGCTGTTGGGCATTTTAGACACACAAATATCAACTCTTGCACATACAACATAAACAAAGAAATTAATAGCATTACACTAAGCCAAAATGACCAAGACCATATGCATAGAGTTATTAGGGAAGGGTACCTTGCTTACCACCTTGTGTACATCCTTGACCTTTAAGACATTTATACCCCCCAGTTGCATAGCGGTATGTGTGCAGACTTACAATGCCAGAAACCAGGTAGACAGAGCACAGATAGCCTTTTGTGTAACTTTGTGCTTAACTTCAAACAAACAAACTTTAAGGCATTTACATTAAAATTGTTGCTCGTGTACAGATTTAACAAATATATTATATAAGGTAGATGAACAGTGTCTAAGTATACAGATTTCCCTATAAATATTTATCTAAGTAAATGATACAATAGCTGATCCCTGAAATTTTCAGGTTACATGTGATACTAACAAATTTAATACATAATACACTTGTCAGTTGCTAAACACTGAAGGTGTTATTATACAAATTTAATACTCACTCAATACCAGCAGCTGAATCCTGAGGATGCTTAGTATAGAGGTGCTGAGCAGTGATAGTGAAGGGTAATTCTTCTGGCATGGCTTCATTACAGTACTGATATTTAGTTAATTCTGGTTGTTCTTTGTACATCTCATCCACAACCAAATAAGAAAACTGGAGAAAAAGAATAAAACGTATACTGTGTTTTCTTTTATTATCTGTATAAAATTATGTCCCTTCCATGTCTTTTACCTATTTTTATAAGAGTTAAACTCAGTCAAATATTATGTAATCACAATTCTTAGACTTTTTCATACACATCTATGATGTATGAATGTCATAACAGTTACTGCTGAAATAACTGGTACAAATCTGGATGTCTAAAAGGTACATAACTACAATTCTATCCTGACTATACCTGATGAACAAGGTAATTTTACAGCTCATTTTAAAAGCTTTATTTCAGAAACAAATATATTTTTAAACACTGTATTTGTAGGCAACAAAACTCAAAGTACCTTTAAACATAAAAAATGATATTTAATTTAAAATTATATATAAAAAATAAAATACAGTGTAAAACTGAAAGTTTAGAACAAACAACTGAGCTGCCAATTAAAACAACAATATTCCTTTTACTAACTTAAATATGTTAATAAATTAAAACCTCAAAACAACAAAAATAAGCTGGTATTTTTGTAACTAAAAACAATTTAAAATAGACACTTCTATATGTGTATTAAACTCTCAAAAGTTTTAAATGTTGACTTTTCCCATCTCTTCTGTTAACTATTTTGAACCAAAGTTTTGACTCAATGAACCTGATTCATTATAAGCTCTTTTCTGCAACCAGTAACTTTCTGGTTGAAACTTTTACTGTGCACCTAACTCTTCTACATTTTCATTCCACCTGATGTGAAGATATTAAATTATATGTCATCAAACAAATGCAACTTAAAACATACTTACCTCTAGTTATATACACATTATCAAAAATACAATTGTTGGGAGTGAAGAGCAGTTAAATTCTTTTTGATGCAAAGAAGTAACTGACCAATATCTCACATTTAGTACAAGCCATCAAGAACAAACTAATTATATCCCAGGATTACCCAAAGTTGGGTCAGTGACATGTGTAAACAAAGGTTTTTCACATCTGTTGGCTTAAAACTCAGATCAGTTGGGGCATGGTAGACAATAGAATATGAAAGCATTTGATGCTGATCCACCTGCAAAACCTCCTGCTAAAGGTAATAAACTGCAACCAATTAGAAAACAACGAGAAGCCACAGCTGGCAGAATATAATATGCAATTACCATTTCAAGATAATACTACAGCTGAAAAGTTCTTCAAAGGAATCTCAATAGCATTAAATATAGCCATCTGGAAAAAGATCAACCACAAAAGGAAGAATTTCAAAATGTCATGGATCTCTTAAACCACAAATTGATTGTGTGTGTGTGTGTGTGTCAATTCTAAGAACTCATGAGTGAATGAAGCAAGGAATATCCAATAATATGTCCACCACAATATATATATAGACACACACACACCCCATATCCAGTGCAATAAACTGCAGTATTAGGACATAACTGATTTGAAGTAGAAAGATCCAAAAATTGTGAGAGAAAAAATATTCTTAGATGTATACATACATGAACCTTAACCCCTGAAGTCCAAGGTTTGTAGAAAAATGAATAAACTGGATATTGGAGAAAACATTCTTGAAGTAAAAATGAAGAAATAATGGCACAAAGGTATCTCGACATTGAGGTAAAAGATGTGAAAAAAAAAAGATATAAAGAGAGGGAGAGAGAGAGAAACCAGATGAATGTCCACTCCTGTTCCACAAAACAGAGTACAATAACCATGGAATACTTACAGAAAAAGAAGCAACAAAAGACACCATCAGTCTGGCAACAATAGAATAGAATCAACTTATTCCCACAAACGATCAATTACACAGTCATGATGGTACAGAAAAGGGCATCACAGAGGAAAGGGAAAAACTTCTACCAGAGAAAGTTGTTCAAAACCTATCCAACAATGACTAGCATACTTGATGTCTTTCTGATGCCTTTCCATCTATGAAACATTCTAGTCATTTCCATGTATAGACATTTTGAATGTTCTTTTCAATTGCTTTAATATCAAAATCATGATCAACGATACATTCTGCCACTTTAACAACCTTGTTACACAGTTGAATAACACAATGTTTCATTGACTATAATGGACAAGATAGTGGCTACAAGGAAGGCGTTAATGGGGATGAATAACTCATAATGAAGAAATGATGGGGCATAGTTTATATCTATATCTGTGAAATCGCCCTGTGCTGACAAAGTATCTACACAATCATATAAAATTCATGGATAAAACCTATGAGAAATCACTGATTGGAATGCTACCTGAATAGGAACTCACATGCAGAAGAATGAAGAAACAGAGGTGAAATAACATACTGAGAAGAAATCTTGGGCCTGGTATATATATATACTAGAATAGCTGGCAACTCTAGAAACAACCAGGCTAAAAATTGGCTATCATAGAACAACACGATTTTTCATTCATTCCTTGGTGACAGTTTAATGGTGTTTTCCTTTGTAATGTGTACAAGAACATGCTCTCATGAGTTAACATTATTGATGACAACAGGGATCCAAGAGTAGGCTCTGCCAGAATAGCTGGCAACTCTAGAAACAACCAGGCTAAAAATTGGCTATCATAAAACAACATGATTTTTCATTCATTCCTTGGTGACAGTTTAATGGTGTTTTCCTTTGTAATGTGTAAAACTTTATTTTTGACTGCTTTATTTTCTTCATGGTAAATATTTGAGTAGATTTTCAATCTAAACTATGTATTATGTTGTTGACAAATTTACACAGAATGATTTATTCATTATCAGTCTGACAGTAACTTGGTGTTATTTTTTAGTCTTTGTTGTGAATTTCAGTCTACTTCTTCTGTGTACAGTGTTTATTTCCACAGCTACCCATTGTTACATAAATTACTTCTTTATTGTAAAGTTTGTTTGTTGATTGTTGGAAGTTGTTGTGATATATCTTATTTCTAACTAGCCAACTACCCTGCATTGCTCGGATGAAAATAGCTTTAAATATCCTGAGTTGCTTTGAGTTGTTAAATCAACCATATTAATAGTGACTTTTTGCAAAAAACTCAAAATTATTTTTTTACCTAAATGAATATTTTGATTAAAATCAATAAAAGTAACAAAGCGTGAAAAAAATAAAAATTTCCTAAAGATATTTTAATCAAAGCAAAACAGGGTTCATTGTTCCTGCTTCTTGAAATGTCATGCTGTCAAGTGTTGTTTGCAGCATATTCTGACTTTATTATTGTTCCATTTAATGAAGAATTGGTTTATTCTCTTTTCTTTACAACACAAAGTAAATGAAAATTTGCTGATACTAAACGTTTTTGTAAAGTCATTGTATATACGTGATTCTTGTGAGTACACACAAGCAAAGCAAAATATATGGCTGAAGTAAGCCTATTTTATTTAGTTGAAGGAGTGTGTGCAGGTTCGAGAGAATGCACCAGCCTCTTTCAGTTAAGAGGAGTACAAAAGCAGGAATGTATGTGTAGAAGAAAGAAAGAAAGAGGGAGGGAAAGAGAACAAAGTTTTTAAATCATTTTAACACATAATTGATAATGGATAGAATGATTAAGAGAAGTTCTCACACAGAGACGAAATGTAAATAATAGCCCACTTGATCACACATTACCAAAAAAATCTGACCCTTTCAACTTGAGACCAATTGGTTGCCTTGTTTGACAACCAATATACAACTTGACAACTTGCCATATTGGTCACTTTGGCCTCAATTTTCGGCCTCATAGCTCATGTTACTTCCTGCACAAAGTTGTATCTGTATCTTGAGTTTGGAATTTGTAGCTTTAAAGATATAGCCATGCATAAGAAACAGACCCACAGAGAGAGAGAGAGAGAGAGAGACACACACACACATTCATGCTTTTATATATATATATATATATTAGAAAAAAATTTATTTTGCTACAAACTTTAGATATATGAGGCAAGAAATCATGCTTCTATTCAAGGCCTGTGAGTGATAGGCTTCTGACAAAAGTTGTAGGGAAGATAAATATTTCAGAACAGTAGTGGGGGTCAGATGAAATCCAAGAAAATTGGGATCTGTTCAAAGTGATCACAGGCTCCAGTCTGAAACCTCCTATGTCCAAAACTGGATCAAGTCTTTGGTAATCTAAATATGCCTCTTCCTGGAGGTGGTAAGCCAAAGCATGCTGTTCCAACAAATTTTGCAGACAAGGCATAGCTATCTTGTCATGTAACTGAGTGGTAAACCTCCCAGCATGAACAATAATACCAGGTGAAGAAGGAAAAATTAAATAGTCGCCCTCAGACCTTTCTGCCACCAAGGAAGAGTAGACTCAAAGGCCACCAGGGAAGCCCCAAAACCTCACAAGCCCAACTGACTAACTGAAGAATGGGAGCAGGAGGTGGCTAATATAAATTGGCTTTGTGAGAAGCTGACCTAGTAAATGGAGGCACCGGAAAAAGTGAGTCTAAATTCTCGCCAAAATGTCCTGGAATATTGGCATAATCAGAGCAGATCATGGACAGTATCATCTGAGAGTGACTCCCCTCCCGACCACTGAGAGACACTACATAACAGAGGTGGAATAGGGTAGGTCTGATTAGCCTTTGTGCTGGAAACAGTAACCTAGGAATTCATTGATTTTTTTCATTTGATTTTTGTAGATATAGTAAAATATAATTGATCGGAAATTAACTAGGTGACACGGAATTGCAACCAAGGATGTTAACTATCACAGAACTTCTTTAGACAAACCAATGTCTAAATGCTCTGTCAACAAAAACTGATAAAATTATCTGAATGAGGTCCTTATATACAGTACCAGGATAGAGGGTGCATTGACATAGGTGGAGAGTATCACGAGACAAATATTGCCAAGGGCAATTGAGTGGGGTATAAAAGACTGAAGCAAACTAGAAAATATCAGGCCAATGCTTGTACGGGCAAAGAAAAACCCTGGAAGTCAAGTAATAGCTATAAGTGTCAGAGGAGGTAAGTATGTTTTGGAATTTAAGCTTTTAAAAATTCTGTCTTCATTTTGCAATCTTACAACATCATAGTACTTTGTCTCTTTTCAAGTTTTAACCCCTGTAGGTTTTTGTGAGCTTAGCTTGTTAAAATAAGTTCAGTGAAATGATTCTGAGATACCACAACACAATCTATTTTAAATTGTATAATACTATACTCGCAATGCTCAGATAAAATGGGTTAATATGCTACATGAAACTCAAAAGAAAAATATTTATACAATTTCAGTATTTCACTCAATAATTCTCTTCCATCAGTATGACAATCATTAACTAAACACTTGTGTAAGAGTTATTATCTACCTCAATGTTACGATCAATAAGCCATTGGACTTCAAAGTCGTCATCATCTTCACCGAGAGGGTTGATCAAAACTTCAGCAACCTGGAGTTTAGAAAATATATATCAATTAACTTTTATTATGAAGAAAACTGTTTGTGTATTATTTTGCTTGTTTTTAAACACATAACTGCACAATGGGCCATCCATAAGTATTGTGCCCAATGCAGGGATTGAGCCTCAAATTTTAATGTTGTAGGCCCTCAAGCTAACCTCTGAGCAACCAGAAGGCAAAAACTAAATACTTGTTTGGAATTGTAATTTTTCATACTCTTCAGTGTCATTGTACTGTATACTTATTTGTTCAAATCTACAGGTTTCAAAGTATAAAGAAAATAATATACATACAGTAGCAATTGCATGAGAGCTAACATTCACACTCTCTAGCAATATTTGACTCAACTGATATAGCAATGCAGAAATTGATATAAAAGTATAAAATAATATACATAGTTTATGAATGATTGACACTTGTTTTCAAGTTAAGCTTAAATAAATAAATAAAATGCAATGTTTATTAGTACACAGTTACAACATCTTTATTGTTGTTTCATAAAAATATCAAACAACTGTTGATAGAACTTTTAATAAATTTAGTAATGTAGAATGTTTATTTAAAATAAAATTACATCAACATCTTTTTAAGAGAAAATAGAAAGAAGTAGCTATATTCTTACTTTATATTCTAGGATTAATTCGTCAATTATTTAATGTTTTTAAGAAACAATAAATATTTTATCTTATCTTGAAACCTATGAATAAGATTAATCAAACTTTAGGTTGATACAAAATATAAAATACATTTAAACGATAAGACAAGGATTTGAAAAATTGAATGTGAATGTGGTAACACTTATACTGGTCAAACTTAAAAGAACTTTTACTGTGAAATACTGTTGTGAAGGAATCTTTGTCATCTTCTGTATGTTAACCTCTAATTGAATACCTTTTTTGTTGTGTATTTGAGCTGACAGTTTTTCTACTGCTTCCATGCATAAGTATTCTGAGGTCCAGAGTCATCAAAACAGTGAAATTCCCATAGTCTTTCATTTAAACAGTGTCTTTAGAAGCTGACTACTAGTGAGTAGCCTACATGGTTAGTAATAATCTAACAATAAAATGTTATAATTCCAGCTAGTTCCCATAATACATTGCCTTCCAACACAATTATTACTGTTACGACAGCGGAGGTCACGTGACGCTAGTAACACACCACGTGCTTCTAGAACGTTCATGAAGCATCGGGAGACTACTAGATATGGGGTAGTCTTGTATATATAAGACCAACCAAGAAGCGACGGGAACAATGTGTAATTGAACTGCGGACAGAGTATTGTTGAGTTGAGTTGTTATAGCGCGACTGTGGAAATTAAGTGTATTGCAAAGTTGTATTCAGAAAGAATAAACCAGTTTCATTTAAGAAAAGACTTGTGTCGCTAAAGTTTCGTCAGAACGAAATTTACGGAAAATTAACTAACGAACGGAGACGTAATATTACTAATAGTTTTGCTCATGTACAATTTGATATAATTGAGAAATCTGCACCACAGTGTTTCTAATTAGTACACAAGATATTAGTTTACTTATGGGTGGATAATAGATACATTTCTCTCTAGTTTAGATTCTGATGGATCTAAATGATTACTTCTTATTTTAGAAAAGGTGAGCCTTCACAATATATATTACAAAACATTTGTTTGGTTTTGAGTCAATAACTCCAGTTCTCTATACATAATAGTACATGACACATAAAAAAAGCTTTATATGATAACCTATCAACTCATATAGAAGAAGACAGAAGGAAGAAATCTATTAGGAAAATTAATGAATGGTCTTAATAGAGGGGTGTTTAAATATACCCACCCCAAAGAGACGAGAATGTGAGGCATGGAACAGGAAAAACACATCCAACAGGAAAATTCAATAACCAGAGCTGACTCTATATGAGTATGTGAAGACTACCCCTTTTGGATGTAGCTAACCAAAGCAATACATCCAATGAATAGTGTAGGTAAAATCACCCCAAATAACTTGAAGTCAGGTAAAATGCAGACCACTTCACAAAATATATGGTACCAGACAAGTCCAAAGAGCAAGGCAAAAAACTTGGACAGAATCACGTGGTGAAATAACCTGAAATAGCATCCCGAAAAATGGAAAATAAGAATGTGAAATGTGGGCATACCCCCAACATGCAGAAATAGCAAACCCAAATGCGATAAAAGACTACATATGAAAACAGAGAAGATCCAAGATGTGATTGAGGTGGGATGGATCAATCCAGAACCCCAAACAACATCAAGCATATAAGACGAACTAAGAAAACCCGTAGGTAGGTAAAGATCTATCAGTGTACCAAGTTTGAAAAGAAAATCCATGAAAATATGTTTTTCTATCAAATAACATTTCTGCACTTTTGGTGCGAAGAAAAAAAAGGGGAAGAAACTCAAACAAAAT